TACAAAACGAGCATAAATCAGGATATTCATTTGTCATGAAACAACGAGTGCGAAAACGCGTGTTTCGGCGAAGGTAACTCAATCACGGCCTCCGATCCGCTTCCCTGAAAGGTTACAACTCATTCAAAAAGGATACACTTTGATTTCGATGAGTGATGATGAGACACATGTCAGAACTTGAAGCCGAAGTCTCGACGGAGCAATTTCGCGACCGGAAGTGTACTTTTCTTGAACTTTTTTAGGTCCCGGGAACTCCGATCTTCCTCAAATTTTGCAGAGAGCTAGGTGAGCATGTGGGGAACATGGCCGGCCATTTATCTTCCCAAGGGGAGGTGGCCAACCGGTTTCCAATAAAGCTAATGGCTGGCTGGCCATTTCTGCAAAAAGCAGATAGCTGGCCGGCTATAAATAGGGGCCGGCCGGCCATGTACTTTATCCGGGGGTATTTTGGTCCTTTTCAGCCCCTTTTGCATGCCTCTTCAACCAAGGCTTGAGGCTTATAAAAGGCAGCCGAGCCCTCCCCTTTTTCTTGCCTTCTACAACACTTTCCTCTCCAGATCTGAGTTTCACGCGCGTTTTCCAACGCCCCGCGCAAATTGTTTTCGCAAAAACACTCAGTTTCAAGCACTTTGAAGCGATTAAATTCCGGCTTCGGAACTTCTTTCTGCATTTTCGCCACTTGAGGTAAGTTTGTCTCATTATTTAGAAGATATTCTCGGGAGTTGACTTTTGTTGACTTTTCATTTCCCGAGAGTTGACTTTTGTTGACTTTTTCCAATTTTGGCTCATTTTGCTCATTTTTGCTCCCTTTTGCAGATTCTCTGAAAATGTCGGGCAATTCTCCCCACGGTGGAGGTTTTCCAGGTGCCGGAGATGATTTCGATCCCATGACTCTACCCCCGAGGACTCGACCTTTCATTCCCGGGAGGTACCGTCCGCCAGCACATGTCCTCCCTCGTGCTGTCTTCCGCCACTTCACCAGCTTTGACGGGAGAGCACCCATGGACCTGCTTCTCAGAGAGCTGGAGCAGCATCTCTCTCACGAGGCCCGAGAGGTATTTACTTCATCTTCTGTATTTTACATTTCGCACCTTTGCCATGCTTGAACACGCAGTTTAGCTTATGACATAGTACTTTGCTTGCATCCTGAACATGTAGTTTCAACACTCGAATTTCTGAACACTCGGCTCATTAATTAGTTGCGAACACACAGTACACATTAGAACACACGGCTCGAACACTGATTTGTCGAACACACAGCCCGTATTCGAAAGTGGACGCACAGCCCACACTTTACATTTTCTGAACACGCAGCCCAGGTTAGATAGTGAACACGCAGCCCACAATTTAACTGAAAGTTGAACACGCAGCCCAAACTTCAAATTTTCTGAACACGCAGCCCAGGTAGATACAACATATAGCTTATTTCACTTCATCGGCATACAGCCCATTTTATCTTATTGGCACACAGCCCATTTCATTTCATTGGCATACAGCCCATTTCATCTCATTGGCACACAGCCCATTTCGTCTCATTGGCGCACAGCCCATTTCATCTCATTGGCACACAGCCCATTTCATCTCATTGGCACACAACCCATTTCATCTCATTATTGACACATGTATCCATTCTGAATGCAGGCTGGTTCCCGCAGTGTGCGGGGATATGGTTCGACCATGGTGCGGGATTGGTACGCCGAGCTCCCGGAGGCCGTCCGAGATTTGGTAGATTTGGCAGGATTCGGGCCCTTCTGCGTCGGGTTGTCACGTTGTCCTGCCAGGAGGACATTGATGGCAGCCTTGGTAGAGAGATGGTGGGACACCACCAATTCCTTTCATTTCTCTGCTACCGGGGACATGACCATGACCCCTTTTGACTTCGCTGTATTAACCGGCTTAGACGTCGGAGGTTGGGCCATCCCCTATGATGAGGATATGGGCGAGTGGGAGGCCGCCTGGATGTATCTACTGGGGGCTCGCCCACCCGTTGACAGGGTCTCTGGGAGAGTCCGATACACTTGGTTCTCTTCCCATTTCCGGCGGGCGGAGATGGTGCCTGAGAGTCCCGAGGAGACAGAGCAGTATGCTCGCGGTTTCCTGATGTTCCTCTTCGGGACTACCCTTTTCGCCGACAGAGGGAACACAATTGGGCTATACCTGCTGAGCGCTCTAGTCGACCTATCACAGGTCCATCGATATGATTGGGGTGGTGCCGGCCTGGCTACCCTTTATTTTTATATGAGCGCGACCTCCCGCGGACGGGGCGATTTGCTTGGCGGCTACTGGAGAGCCTGGGAGGTACTTCCTGTCCCCTTGATTTACATTTCTGCTTTTCATTACTTGTACATTGCACACACAACGCACTTTCACAGTCTGTATTTTGCTCTCAGCATTTCGTACTCACATTCTGCACTGTTTTTCTCAGCTATGGGTCTATGTCATTAGCCCCAGAGCTGGAGGTGGTAGGGATTCCCGTGACCCCATATTCATTGATATTCGAGGGCCCGCACCGGCCGAGACCTCGAGAGACCCTTCTTCGCTTACGACAGTACTTTGACACTGTGCGACATTCAGAGGTACTTCAGAACTTTCAGTTCTTTTCATTTTCGACTTTGATTTGCTCTGTATATTCTCGATTTCTGATTGGTTTATGCATTCATCATCCGCAGATTACATGGCAACCCTGGGTGTCCCTGGGCGACGGTCTCCGCCTTCAGTATACCGGAGCGTCGGATATCTCCCAGTTAGAGCTTCAACCACGGCTAATTGGCCTCTGTAGGAAGCTACATGCAATGCTGTGTTTCCAAACTTGTCTGTGGAGTTGATGATATTGAAGGATGCTATAAGATCTTTCACTACCTGAACAAATAACAAGGTTGGCTATGAAGTTCTAAAACCAAGCTACTGCAAACCATTAAAATTGTGATGTATTATTCTTCTTCCTCCAGTAGAATTACCAATGAGCAGCGTATCTGTTCCTTAATTTTTAGTGTGCAATCTTACAAAATTGTGCAAGTCTATAGGTATCAATGCTATATGTACGTTGGCTGATCCTAGTACAACTACAGTTGCAAACAATTTGTGGCTCCTAGGATCGTTTCAAGAACCATTTCATATGAAGAATTCATGCATTTTCACAACTCCAACTCGACTGACAATTAGCACATATATGATGTCAAGCAGAACACTTGGTAGATGCCATCGTGCAAAATAAAATTGTAGCTAGAACGGCAAATCAACAGTTGGATATTTGCTGTAATTGGCTTCTTCCAATACTACTACATGCAGTAGAGTAGACCAAAATCTTTTCACTCGGAAAACATGGAAGCGTAATCATAGCAAAATTTAAGAAAAGAAATAGATAAGAAAAAACTAAAATTGGATGAAAGATCATGACTTTTTATTTTCCATTCCTATCTACAATTTCATAGTGCCGGCTATTGGGTATACAATGCATACAACCAGCTGACATAAATCATTGTAGGCTAAAACTTAGTGATTTGAACATCCAAACAAAAACTAAGAAATTGAAATTCGAAGCTAAATAGCAAGATCCTCACCTCAACCTGACCTCTGCCAGCTGCGGCATGTAAGACAGTTGAACCCCGTGTATCTCTATAAGCCGAAACATCAAAGCAATCACCAAGAAGCACTTTCAAAATCTTCAAATTGCCTCCTCTTGCAGCAGCATGAACAGCTCTATTTACCATATCCCACTTATAATCACAAGGGATCTCCCCAATATGCTCCTCCAACTCTCCCCCATCGCCTGCCAAAAACCTTGGTGACGCTGCAAAATCAAAAAGAAGCCTGAAAACCTCACAATTCTTACTCCTGGCAGCAGCATAAAATATATCAGTCACACCATACTCTCCTTCCCCAAAAACTAGTAGAGGGTTTTTTACAAGCAGGTCTCGGGCAAAGCCCAAGTCTCCAGCTGAGGCAGCAGTGTAGAGAAGCCAGCCACCGTGCCCAGCTCGGATGAGGGAATTTTTCCCTCTCTTGCTTTCACACTCGAAAAAGAGCTTCTGGGCAACCCGAGAACGACACTTGGCGACATCATCAAACTGTTCTTCGTCATCCCAGACAGTCTCAAGGCGGCGAATTCGCCTGAGGGAGGTGAGTTTGATAAGGTGATTGGCGTTTAGGCGAATGAGCTCCCGGACCAAGTCATAGTGGCCATTGGCAGCTGCCCAATCAAGTGGGGAAGCAAACCACCATTGGTCCCCAGTGCTTTCCCACCGGAGAGGAAAGTATGAAGGAGACATTGGCAATTGAAACTTGAGATCAGCCTAATACAATTATAAACACCACCACTGATGTTTTTGGCCAAGTTAGTCCTAACCCTTTTCAGATACAATTCAACTCAATTACTTTGAATTGGTTCTGAATCCAAACCCTAAGGTAATGTGGACAATTGCAACAAGAAAAGTACCCAGCTAAAATCCATGATTTGAGGCAATTAATTTAAGGGTAAAGCACACAAAAGCATTATTACTGACAGAAGTATAATCACAACCCCAATCAGTTCAGAAGCAAGCTTTCCGGGGAAAAAAAGGAGGGACAAGAAAAATCAGGATTTGTGAGAATCTTAAGTAAAGAAAAGGAAGAAATACCCTTTTGGAGAGATTATGAACACCTTTAAAAGCTTGCGAAACAAAGAGAATCCACTAGTGATGATGCCAAGAACACAGAGAGGATTAGAGGAATAAGTAATAGTAGTATCATTCAAGTATATGATATGAGAGAGAGAGAGAGAGAGAGAGAGAGAGAGGTATGAAGTCATCATTAATCACAGGAAGCAAAACCCAGAAAAGGGGAGATGCCTTAGTACAAGGAAAAGTTAGAAATGAGTGGAAAATATGTTCGCAATGACCAAAGAAAATGTTATAAACTTTAAATTCTTTATCAAATAAATGAATATACGAATGTGTGGTCTACATTTTTGTGAGATTCACACCTTTTAATTATTTATTTACCAAAAATTTGATATCTCTAATATGGGTTCTGTTTGTGCAACCCCTTTAAGGTTGCACACCATATGCAACCCAATTGTTAGGCGTTAGATTACAATAATTGATCAAGACCATTGAATTGTTTAATTGTAAAAAAGTTAAAACCGGGGCAACCGGTTAATGCTTGTATTTGCATGATTGTATCCCACTCACTCTCTGTATTTCGTCCCTATCTCTCTCTGTTCTCCTCTCCGCGTAAGGTTGGGTCAGTGTAACTGTTGATTTCCATTAACAGCAAGAACAAATGTTGTTGCACTATTGTCATCAAGTGATGTTCTTAGTTGTAGCAACACACAAAATGGGCCGTCGATAGAGAAAGTAAACCCTGCAGGTGATAGTGGTACTTCAGGAAGGTTTGAGTCTGCAAGTCAGGCATCAGCACCAAGCACTTTGAATGCAATTTTGATTGAACACTCTGCAAAAAAATGTATGAAAGCATTTAATATTGAATTTTATTCTCACAATATTGCACTTTGGAAGGGAAAAAAAAGAAAGAAAAAAAAAGAAAGAAAAAGTGGCAACAACATTCGCAATACAAAGTTGCACAACCAATGCAATTTTGATTGAACACTCTGAAGCATTATTAATTGGGTATTCAGCAGAGAACTTCAAGAAATCGGAAGGGTTGACTTCTGGGCCAGGGAAGAAAGGCTGCAAGAGGCGTGGCTGGAATCGTGGTACTTCAGGAAGGTTTGTGTCTGCAAGTTGGGCTTCAAGCACTTTGAGTGCAATTTCGATTGAACAGTGCAAGACATTATTAAAAAAATTGATGCAACATCAGTATGGTTGGGTTTTTAACACTCCCGTTGATGTAGTAAAGTCGAACATTCCTGATTATTTGACTGTTATAAAGCATCCAATGGATTTGGGGACAATAAAGAGCAAGATTGCTTCAAGTGAGTACTCAAGTGCGTTGGAATTTGTGGCTGATGTCAGACTAACTTTCTCTAAGGCTATGACCTACAATCCACCAGGAAATGATTTCCACATCATTGCTGATACTTTGAGTAAATTTTTTGAAGCAAGATGGAAAGTTATTGCGAATAAACTTCCGAAGGATTCCCAGCCATTACCAGAAAAATCAGACGTACATGAAGAAAATGGGACTATTAAGCCAATGCCTCCATCAAAAAAAAGAAAACTTACTTCACCGCAACATAAAGCTATGCCTGGCCATCATCAAAAGAACACCCAGTATAATGCATATCTGAAAATTGATGAAGCCAAATCAAAATTAATTTAGCTTTAAACTTCCAAGCGTAAGGTAAAGAATGAAATCAATGCAAAGTTTTAAGTTAGAGTCATACCCAGTTAATAAGCCAAGACAAGCTAAACTTCTCTGGTTTCTTGCTGGCAAGCCACATGACGCAAGGCAGCTGCAGAAAGAAAAACAATTACAGTATATTTAAACAATTATATCATCTTTGTTGTATAAACCATACTAAACCCGGTTTGATGCAGTTTGCCAAGTTAAAAGCTGACAATTATTGAGTCTTTACTTGTTCATTGATTGTAGTTATTGGGTTCTTTGCATCATCTTGATGCTTCTTTAATAATATTATTCTTATTTAAAAGAAAGAAAAAAAAAAAAGCTGATTATCTAAACACAAGTTAAAGATATCGCACTTAAAAAAAGGAACAAAAAAGAAAGTTATTATCTCCCTCCTTCAGCTTAAGCTTTAAAAAATTATAGAAACACCATTTGAACCCCAAGGGGTTGGCTTGGTGGCAAGGCCTTGGCTCTTGGGGGTGTGCTCTCTCGAAGGTTCAGGGATGGAAACCTCTTAGGTGCTAACAATTCCTTGAGGCCATTGAACTAGAGGAAAACACTTGAATTAACCGTGATGCACTTGAGGAAAAATCTTTGCCGAGGGCTTGTGCACTCCTGGGGATTAGTCGGGTTTTGATCCGAATACCCCAGTGCCAATCAAAAACAAAAAAAAGCAAAATAAGATAGAAATACCATTTGGTCAACTGCCTAAATGACACCCTTTTTATAACTTGCTTTATTTATTTATTTTGGCACATATTCCTAAAATAAAATAAAAAAAGCTATAAGCATCCCTCATAAACTGCACCGAACAAGGTCAATTCAATAACAAAACGAGTCAGATAGTTGCTTACAAAGTATGTTGTTGGGGCAAATGCAAATCCTCCAAAGAATCCTAGAAGACCACTAAAGAAAGGGAAGGTAATGGCAACAAACATTGTCAATGCTGCAAGAAAAAACAAATTACATTAACTTTAGATCAGAGAAATGTAATTTCAACTTCGAGAAAATCACAAATTTATTCATATAATGCAGTAATTGAATAAAGAGTACAATTCACTTACCAACATATATATTTCGTGTAATAAAGCGAAGCATCATGGTTGGCTTGAAATGCAATTTTTTTACGAGAGCGGTTTCTATCATGTCAAACACTGGCATTGCATAAATCTAAAACAACAGAAAATAACAAAAAATTAGAAAGAGAAACATCATGAGAACTGATCAATATGATGAATCGTTTGAAACAACTTAATCAAATAAAGTTTTGGCTTGCACGTGATAACTTCCAATAACATGAATAACGACAAACAAGTTAGCCATGGCAATGAGCCAAGCAGGTTTCTCTAATGTGATGAGGATGTCGTCATCAACTTTGTTCCCAAATACCCAATATCCAATTAGAGAGACGGGGAAGTAGCACAAGGCCACAACTATGTAGGCAACTATCACTCCCCTCCACATAGGGCCCTTGGAAGGCTTTTCAGGTGTAGAAGGGATTGTTGCTTGAATCTCCAAGACCACATTGTGACCCGCATAGGCAAAAGCCACTTCACCCAAGGCACTGAAGAAGTTAAAAACTGTTCCTACTGTTGTCTTAGCTTTGTATCCATATTCGACATGCGGTTGCACACCCTTGTGCAGAGAAGCAGCCCAAGCAATGGTAGAGTAACTGTAGGACAGACAACATTAAAGCTCAAACATGCTAGTACTTGCCATTCAATATTAAACATTGAACTATTGAGAATGAGGGTTTTCCTCCTGTATTGCAGCATTTCTCTGCCTACTAATCTTGTTCAATCAACTAAGAAGAACATCCATGACACAGACACGACACATGAATTTTTACAAAATGTAAGATATGACACGTGAGGAATACATGCAAAATATATAATTTTATATATTTATTAAATATCATATGTAAGGATAGATAATTATTATATGAACATCTTAGTCAAATA